CACAAACTGCTAGGAACCTCATTTGTGTCCACTATAGAATGTATGGCTGATTCAGAAGGGTTATGTTTTCTTTGCAGCACTGGTGGCTTTCCTCATGTTTTGCGAGCTTCCTAACTTGTTTTCTGTTAGTGAGGATATCCTTTATATTCAGATTTTGAGTGGAAACATCGCAGAAATTATGTAACATCCAAAAGTGCGTGTTGGTTTTGGCATCCAGATTGTCTGACATGAGCATTTAGCACTTTCAGGTTCAGTGTGTTCGTACCAAAAAATATCAGACAGAATGCAAGAGTGTCTCTCACAACTTTAGACAATTCTTTGGTTTGAATTCTGCATTCAGAATAATATTCTATGTGCATAGTTGTGGTAATTTTGCTCGCTCTCAGCCCTCTAGAAAGTCTGCACAAGTAACCATCTTCTCAATATGGGAGCTGGATACAGGCCCCTCAAAGGGGGCTTTGAAAGGGTTCCAAGTGACTTAAGTGGGCACTAAATCAGGCTCTTCATGTACTTTATTGTGCAGTGACTCTCTGGATACATTTGACAGCATAAAGAAAGACTGCCCCTGACTTGAAGCGGATGTTTTAAAATAAGTAACTGCTTACACCCATGAACGCTGTGGAAGCAGCATAGACATCTTAAAACAAGCTTGCTTGTACATGCTGGTTTTTTCAGGGAGAAGAGCGCAAAGAAACTTCAGGGAAGATCAGTGTTTTAATGAGCTGTTTGAGTGAAGAGTAATTAGTAGACTCCTTCACTGAGGAGGAGTCAGAAGACTGCATGAAGACAAATGAGAGAAGCGTGTAAAAATAGACATAGGACAAGTTGGAAAGCAAAAGTTGGAAGGGGAAGAGAGCATTGGAAAAAGATTTGAAGGGGAAGGGTATAACCTTAGAGGTAGAAGCTGTTCTGTATAGGCCAGAAAGGAAGAAGAGATGTTGTGGGAGAACGTAGGATATGGGGCACAATAGAGGGACTGAGACAAAGTTTATATATAGCAACACTAGAAGGTCAGAGCACATAGGGCAAGTGCAAGATGGATGAATGCTGAAAATGCAAGTGGAGCATACTGGAAAGGTGAGATACAAGCAGGCAAAAAGGTTGGGGACAAGGACAGCATAAACACAATGGGGTTCAAGAAAAGAGTTTTGTGAATCTGAAATTGTAGGATTTCAGAAAGGAAATTGAATGAGGAAGGAAGAAATGGGAGATGTACTCTGGCTTTACGCAGCCTGTTTTTTTTTTTTTCTGAGAAGACGTTTTCCACCTGCATGGTGGAGAGGAGTTATGAGGTCACTGTGAGGTGGCCCAATGAAAATGTTAGCAATTTCATAAAAAATTAATTTCTCCTTACAGCTTATACACAATACAAGAGAACTCAATTGTCCTCACAGAAGTAAACAGACATTTCTTTCTTTTACAGGCTGCCAAAATGGCAAACTATTGCAAGTGTCAAAAACTGAGTGACCTTCTGTTCCTTACATTTGCCATTGTCTTCATTGTCAGTAGGCTTGGCATATATCCCTTATGGTGAGTAAGCATATAATTTTCCTCAAATGCTAAGCATCGAACAAGCTTGGAAATAACTATGTTGTAGTTGAACATGATTCATTGACATTACTGTTTCCCAAAGCACCAAGCAGAGTTTCAGATGTAACCACGTGCTGAAATAGCCTATTTGCTATAGTGGCATTGTGTTTACTGTGTGCCAGACAAGAAATATATGGGGCTTCTGCTGGTTTTAAGGTAGAAGTGGGTTGGAGACCTCATAGCTTCAGGTTAGCAGTTGGTTGCCTGTGTTGGCAAGAAGTTAGAGGAGAAATAAAATACTAGTCGCCAAAGACACTGACCAGAGGATGAGCTTGAAGCTAGGATCTTCTTATTGGCTTTCAGTGCACGCTTTATGAACATGTTCAGCTTAAAGAAAAACACAGTGAGATAAGGAAAGTCTGGCCTGCTGAAATCAGTATAAGGATGTTGTTGCCATGCAGATTGCAATACTGCAGGCTACTCCTTTTCCACCCTCCTATGAACTGGGGATCCTGGAGGAGCTGTGTAATACATAAGGTGTTACTGTAATCTCACCTCTTCCCAGACAAAGGCAGCTGCTAGCATGTGCCCATACTCTCTCTTCTAGGTACACACACATGCATGCACACAAACAGGGCATAGAAGTTTGATTTTTTCAGCTAGGGTCTTCAACATCCAGAAAGCAGCTGGCTAGTTTGGAAATGCACTGATGTACTTCAGTGTAGAAACCCTTTTAAGTTTCTCTGTAACCTCTGGCCTGCATATGAGGAGGGCTGGGAGAAGGCGTTGGCCTCACTCTTTTGTGTTCTGGATCCTTCCTTTCTCTCATATGAACAGAACTAACCCACATCTCTGTATCCCTATGAGAGTAAGAGGTGTCTGTCATTGCTTCAGAAGATAACAGTGACAGTTTTGCTTTTGGGAAGCACCAGGATGACAGAAATGTTACCCTTTGCAGAAGTTTATTTAGAGAGATTACCACCAAGCTCCTTATTTAAGCATGCAGAGGATTTACAGATGCCAATATCAACCTCTCTGCCACAGTTTCCTTTCAAATCCTCTATAATGATATCTCTTTGGGGTTTTGTTAATGCAAACAGGATAAGACCAAGGTGCCCTTAGGGAGCTGTGTCATCAGCTCTGCTTAACAATACAATGTAGAAGTCTCATTTATCATTTAATGACTCCAAAGATAATGTGATAATGCCTGGTGCCTGCTCCACTGTGAGTTGGTGAAGGACCATAACAAAAGGAGGAAATGGATAGACACACAAACTGCGTGTTTAAAAATTCTTTTTTTTTTCCAAGGAGCAATTACTTGTTTCTTAAACAGCTTTGCTTCCTTTCCTCAGTCCTTCCTTGAAGCTAACTTGGCCACTCACTGAATTTCTGTAAATAAAGTAAGCTAATTTTTCTACTTGCGTGATCTCAGATAGGGAAAATGGTGGCACTCTTGGTCTTCAGATTTCATCTGCCTGTTGCATTCTGGTTTATATGGAGAAATGGAAGGATGACCCAATTCCACCAGTGCAGTTTTGCCACTCGAAACTGCAGTACATGATTCTGCTTCAGAGAAGGCTCAGTCAGATGATGACTGGATGGGTTCATAAAGGGCAAGGCAAAGGGGAAGTCATACTTGACCAACCTGATAATCTTCTATGACGAAATGACTGGCTTGGTAAATGAGGAGAGAGCACTGGATATAGTCTACCTTGATTTCAGTACGGCTTTCAACACTGCTTCCCAGAAGATCCTGAGAGAAAAGGTGATAATATATGGGCTAGATGAGCAAAAAGTAAGGTGGATTGAAAACTGGCTGAGCAGCCAGACCCAGAGGGTGGTGATCAGCGGTATGAAATTTAGTTGGGGGCCAGTAAGTAACGGTGTACCCCAGGGGTCAGTACTGGGCCCAGTCCCATTCAACATCTTCATTAATGATCTGGATGATGTAGCAGAATGCACCCTCAGCAAGTTTGTTGACGTTCTAACCTGTGAGGAACAGCTGAGGAGCAGAGGGTTGTGCTGCCATCCAGAGGGAAGGAACCTCAACAGGCTGTGTCAGCATTTCTGTGGTCACAGAAATGTGCCACAAGAACTTCATGAAGGTCAGCAAAGGGAATTGCAAAGTCCTGCACCAGTATAAACCGGTGGGCCGACCAGCTGGAAAGCAGCTTTGCATAAAAAGAACTGCTAGAGATCCTGGTGGACACCAAGTTGAACATGAGCCACCAATGTGCCCTTGCTGCAAAGAAGGCTAATGATATCCTGGGGCTGCAATAGGAGAGGTATTGCCAGCAGGTTGAGGAAGGTGATCCTTCCCCTCTACTTGGCACTGTTGCAGCTACACCTGGGGTACTGTGTCCAGTTCTGGCCTCCCCAGTACCAGAGAGATACAAAACTACTGGAGAGAGTCCAGCAAAGGGTCACTAAGATTAATTAAGGGACTGGAGCACCTCTCACATGAGGAAAGGCTGAGACAGGTTGGCCTGTTTAGCACAGAGAAGAGAAAGCTCAGGACAGATACTGTCTATATATATAAATATATGACAGGAGAGTGTAAAGAAGACTGAGCCAAGCTTTTTTCAGTGGTGCCTGGGGCCAGGATCAGAGGCAATGAATATGAACTGAAACACAGGAGATTCCATCTGAACATCAGGAAACTTTTTCACTGTGAGGGTGACTGAGCACTGGCACAGGTTGCCCAGAGAAGTTGTGGATTCTTCCATCCTTGGAAATACTCAAAAGCTGCATGGACATAGTCCTGGGCAGCCTGGTACAGGTGACACAGCTCGAGCAGGGCAGTTGGACAGGATGATGTCCAGAGGTCCCTTCCAACCTCATCATTCTGTGTTTCTGTCAGCTGCCTTATGTGTTTAGCTGTGACTCTGGCATTTAAACTTCACTCTGTATTATTTGAAATGGCAAAGAAGTAACTGCTGACTTGAATTTTTTTGTTATTCAAACACAAACTACTAGATCACTGCTATGTGCTTGCCTTGCTGAGTAGTCAACGAAGAGCAGATTAATCTTGTCCAGAGTGCACAGTTTTGAAGGAGGTCATTAGTCTTCACACATTTAACTAGAACCAGCTGCCCAATATGCTTTTCTCTTGAGACATCTTGAAATCAGCAAGGTCAAGATTTTTCCATCCTTTACATCCTTATTATGGTAGTGAAGTTTTGGAAAGTCCACACTTTCAATCTGAAGTGTTTAAAATAACACTATGTGTTTATAACTGGAACTGAAACTCAGAAACTGGAGGTTCTGCTGCCTTAAGTGATTTCTGTGAAGTGTTGGAGCCAAGTGTCATACTGTGCAGGAAGCCCTTGCTAGGACTAGGCAAATTGACATGGGTAGTGGGAATCAGGCATCATAGAATTGAAGTCTGTGTAAGTGTCCCTAATGCACACTTCATGCTGTCTGACTGGCGGAGTCCCAGAACAGATTACCAGCACAGTGATAAATTATCTAGCAAGTATCAAAACTTGAGCCGTGCTTTACAGCTGTGGCATTTAGTGCTGATGTTCTGGATGTGCCCATCTGTTCCCATATATGTTAGGTGAGAGCAGCACTACCATGCCACTTCAGATTGAACCTTGTCTGAATCCTCTTCTATGGAGTAGCACTGGACCAGTGTGCTGAGAGTAGGGTAAAAATCAAAGCAAGTAGACCTGGGGAAGAGACAATGGGAAGAGAGCTGCACAGTAGCTTCTGTTGTTGATGTCAGCTCCCTTCGTACTGAATATTGGGCTAACGAGGGCAGCAGGTTACAGCCGTGAGTGAGGTTTGCTGCTGGGATGGGAAGATCAGCATGGACTCTTGAAGGCAGTGGGATTGTGTATTGCAGGAATTCGGCAGCCAACAGTGTGCTGTGTGCTCCTGTGTCACAGATGAAGTGGTTACCCTGGCGATCCCTCTGCATCTCCTCTCCCTTAATCAATGAAAGAACACGTTTATTTATTTGTATATGCAGATGGTTCAGTGTGGTGTATATGATCTTTGATTTTTAAGCCCATCTCATTTCCAGACCAAAGCCTTGATGTATGTACTCCTAATGATTATTCGTACATACACCTATAATCACAGAGCCTGGAGGCAGTTTCATGGTTGTCAGCTGTACTGTGGGCATTGCGTGTGGGAGTCAGGGTTAGCAAGGACGAAACATGGGAAGTATGAGCTTGTCTCTACCAAATCCTTTTTCTCTTATGAAGCAGTAATTCTAAGTCTTCATCCCCACTAGCTCGCATGTCAGCAAAAATGAGTCATTGGAGTGGCAGCAGGCCAGGAAGCATAGTTTTGCTCTTCTTTGCTGAATATTCAAAATAGCAAAATTTGGTGCCTGATTAATATTACATAAATATGCAAATTTTTCTAGCATAAAAACTGAGAGGTATAAAATTGGCATGCGTGTAATGTAAAAGGAAAACTGTAATTTATAAGAAAACTTCACCCACACAGGAAGACGAATACCCAAGACAGGCTTCCAGATACGTTGCTTATGAAGCACTGGCGTGCTGTTGTGCTCCAGCTTTGCACAAGTGCCATTTAATTTTGTATAAAGGTGCTAATAAAGAATTCAGAATGTATCAGATGCTGTTGTCTGAAGGTTGTTCAGCAGCGGGGCTAAACCAAAAGAAACTGGCAATTAGGTATATATTTAGCAGCCTTTCTGCAGGCATCTGGAGTTCATTTCAGCAATAATTCAAAAACCCCAGGACACTTTCTGCCTCCTGCTGCTAAGTGAATGTAGGAGTAAAGCTGCTATTTTCACTGACAAGACATTTTGCTTGTGAAATTCTCTCACTTGCGCATAATCACTGTTCTAGCAAATTACAACATAAAACACAGCTCTCCATGAGTCAGGGGGAA